GAAAATTTATTACCTCTGCTGTGGTGCAATTCTCAGCAGCCGCACTCGTCGTATGCAGACAAAAAGGAGTTCAGTAGGCCACTGACTTGCCCCCCCCCCTGGGGGTATCTCTCACACATCATGCTTGAAATGAAGAGTTTTAAAGTCAAATTAATGGCATCAAAGTCAAAGGTGTGAATAAGGCTCTGCCAAGATGTCAATTAGCCAAATTCTATTATCACAAAGTGTTTGCATCATTTCATGGTCAATAATTTTAAAACTGGAATTTTTGCCAGCATCCGTTGCATAAATCTTGTTAAAGACAGCCTCTATCAGTTCTGAATATATGTCCAGTCACCCCTAAATGCTGGTCTAAGCGCAGTTTAGCAGCTGCAGCATCTACAAGGAGACAGGGGAGGAGGGAAGGCGGAGCCACTCCTTCTCCTTTCAACCTCTCCACTCCCCTCTCCCTCTCTCTCTCTCATTAATGACCAATCAGTTAAAAACTTTATTGGTCCCAACCTGCTCCCTCAGCACATTTTTTTGCTCCCTCGTCTGTTTCTATCAACCAACCCATGAAGACACCTCGTTCCCTCCTTTCATTCTGCATCATCTCCGTCCATCTCTGCAAAAGCTCTTTCTTCCTTCTGCCTCCCCTTTATTGCTGCGCTTCATTTCCTCTATCCTTCCTTTCCTCTCGGGCTCATGTTCTTCTCCCTCGCTACCGCTGTCCCGTTTCTGCATCCTCTTTCAAAATTTTGCTCCGGAGGCAGTCAAGTTAGGAAAATGAAGCTGAGGAGACAGTACTCTGAAATATCTGTATTTGAATACTTCTGCGCCGTGTCTGAGAATTTACCAAAGTAATAATCTTTTCCAAAGTTTTTCAATGTTTTTCACCTTAAAACTGCAAACTTCAATGCATATCCTTAGTGACAGACCAGCACCACGAGGTGCTTACGTGTGAATTGGTAGAAATGTCTATCAGCTTTTTAAACACACGCACTGTTCCTGTGAGAAACTGCTCAAGCTGTCTAATAGAACGGGCAGCTTAACTTGGATTTGTGGCCAAACTTTTCTCTGAGCCATTCCACCACTTAAATATGCTCTACAGCTACATCCCTCAAATATAAATACCAAAAAAAAAGTAAAAAAAAATAATTTTCCCATTTCAGAAAGTGAAATTCATATATTGTATGAATAGAATATTTATAGAATATTCAATTTCTATTCATAAAATATTCTATTCTATGACTATTCTACCATTGAGTGAAATATTTCAAATCTTTATATTACATAAAGAAAATTACCACCCAGAGTCTCGAGGAAGAGAGAATGATAGACTAAGCTAATGATTATTAGCATTTATCATAAGCTAAGCTGAAATATTTATTAGATCCCTTTTTTATTATTTTATTTTCTATTGGTATCGTACATTAGAAAATACTTTATTGGTCCCAACCTGAAATTTTGTTTTTTTTATTATTTCTTAAAAAAAAATCACAGCATTCAGCTTCTATGCTCCTCTAATTGGAAGCAAACTTCCAGAAAACTGCAAAACATCTGAAACAGAGTTACTTTAAATCAGTGTTTCTCAACCCTGGTCCTCACCGCCCCCCTGTCCTGCATGTTTTAGGTATTTCCCTTCTGCCACACACCTGAATTGCATCCCTGGGTGATTAACAGCCTTCTGCAGTACTTGAAGGTCATGCAATCATTTGAATCAGCTGTTCTGGAATAGAGGCACATCTAAAACATGCAGAGCAGGGGGGCGCTGAGGACCAGGGTTGAGAAACACTGTTTTAGATGTTGCCCTGCTTCAACACACCCCATTCAGATGATTGCAATTCAGCAAAACCCTTTTAATCAGCCATCAGTTGAAATCATGTGTGCTGAAGCAGAGCAACATCTAAAACATGCAGGTCAGTGTGCTTTGAGGACCAGGGTTAGGAAACGCTGCTTTAAACCTAGGCTAAAAACCTACCTGTTTAGAGTTGCCTGTGACTAATAGTAACAGAGAGATTGATCAACATATTTGATTTCCTTGATTATTTTGACAATAGTATTTGACAAAATGTAACCCACTATGTTGTTTCATAATCAGTTAATTGTGTTTTTCAGGTGAAAAACACTTTGAAATGTCTGGTTGCTGAAATGTGTGACACAAATAAACCTGACTTGACAGTGCCACACTCATTTTATACCACTGATAATAAAACAAATACAATTAAAGCCATGGCTTTGTTTGTTATACACTTCCTGTTAACTTTATTATGGCCTCTTGAAAGTTCAACAGGCCATCTATCACTTCCTGTTTCCTTAAGGTGCATGATGTTACAAATGTTAGCCTTTACTGCTCTTCAAAATGAAAAAGACAAGCGAACGATTGGCATAAGTAGGCCGCAGACATGTTGATCTTCAGGAAACTGACCCATATCTACAGATCCACAACTATCAAGTCTAAAACAACCAAAACTGAAAAAATAAGACTAGTAGACAACCGAAGTTTGTCTACTGACATCACTGCAACAAAGATTTGCTTCACCAAGTCTTCATGACTCTATTTTATTTTAAGGCTTTTGCGCACATCTTTTCCCGGCATGCCAGTAATAGTGACAGGCGCTGAATCACATTAATGAAGAGAATAAACACCTTCTTCCATAGCAGCATGCTGAACATTTTAGAGGAAGCATCTGTTTGCTTTTTGCTCCGCGGAAATTAAACTCTTGCACCGAAACCAACAAGAGTGATGCAAAAAAAGTGTTCTAGTCTCATCTCCTCTTCCCTGTACGTTCACATTAATAACTTCAAGGATTCATACAATCTGATACGCATCCTGAAAAACTATTTACAGCACATGGAACCAAACCCAGAGTTTCTGGGCATCTTGACTGGATGATATTTCGGTACATACGGAGCTGTGGCTGGACTGTATTTGGTAACTGTGGGCAAATGTTGCCCATTTGTTATAAGCAGGCTTTTATCATTCACAAACCAAAAGCAATAACACAAACTTAAATTGGTCACATTCCCCCCCCCTTCTTTTAGATCACTTTTTAAGTAAAGAAAGCACCAAAACACATCCCAACAATAAATCAATATGGTAATTTTATGCACTTTTATTTGTTGTTTGGATAAAACTTTATATGTACACCGGAAAGCTTTTTAACATATAAACTGCACTGTAACGTTTTTTTTTTTTGTTTTTTCTTTTAAATAATTGAGTCAAGGCCATAGACCACTTTAGACTAGAGGACCTGCTTTCAACAGATTGTAACTGCACACCCAGCGTGCAAAGAGTAGTCTCATTTTTCACTTCTTTGTATAGAAAAAAAAAAATGTAGATGAGGCTTACACTTTGTGGTATTAGAAGGACAGCTTATGAAAAGATGTTCGCCCATGTCTGCTTATACCCTCATGTTTATGTAAGAGGTTGTGGGAAAATAGTGCAAGAGAGCATTTTTCTAGCAGCCAACATCACAATCCTCTCTTGGCATTCAGACACCAAACTTTTGACCAGGATTCAAATGCTGTGAAAGCTTCTCTGGCCATTTATGGATGCACCCGTGGGTCAGTCATTCAGATTACTAGCTTATGTGAAAACACCCACTGAACACATCAGTGTTTTTCATAACAGATATGTTCTCGCCATAAGTCATTAAAAACTGACGTTACCCACGGCTGCAAACAGATAAAAACAAAAACTGCCATAAATTAGATTGTGTATAAAAAAAAAAGAGTGAAACAGGGAGTAGGTGTTAAAAACATGAAGAAAATGAACAGAACACCACAGAATGCCAAGAAACAAGCTGAAATATGTCAGTATTTGGAAAGCAGCCCTGCTCCTATCAGAACTAGTGAATCTTAACTTTTGTATTTTTAACTGAGTGTCTGTTTTACAGGCCATCATCATCCAGTTATTGCACAAAAGCTATGTTTTGTTGAGAGAAAGGCTCTCTCTTAGTCCCTTCACTTTAGTTGCAGAGCAAACAAACAGCGATCGAAACGCACATATGTCTGAACATCCGAATGTTCCAGTGAGCAGAGCAACCATGAACCTGAAAGTGGAAACAATATAATTTAATCAGAGTCAAAAACAATTATCAGCAGAGCTGTCCAACAATCAAAAATCAGTCACAGAGAACTTCAGAGAGATAAGTAATCCACCTAACTGCATAGCCAGCCTTGTATGTCCACTCACTGCAAGACTCCACTGTTGAAGAAAAAGCATTCTGAAACAGTTTTGTTTTCTGTAGAATATTTGGATAAGTCAGTGAAGTACTGGGAAATTATAGTCTGGTCAGATAAAATCTGGTATACTAAATTTGGAGGAGGAGTGGCCCCCAAAATCACCATAGCAACACTAAAGTCAGGTGATGAAATCACAGTGTGGGACTGTTTTTCAGCCTATGGTGAAGATGCTTAAAATGACAAAAAAATGTAATTGTACAGGGACATTATCAGTAAGAAAGTCAGATAATATTAAATAGGGACAGATACTTTACCAGTCAGGTCATCCCAAACACACGACCAACAAAACCATCAATTTGTCTCAGAGAAAGAAACTAAAACTGAAAGAATGACCCAGTCAATCACTTGAATTAAACTCAATCGAAAATCGGAGCGAATCGAAGAGGTCCCCATAAGCTCTGAGTTATGAAGCTAAAGCTATGGAAGAACTGCTCAAAAACACACCTGAACAATTTATGCAGCTACTTTCTACTCACAAGAGACATCAAGACACTTTCATTACTAAAATACGTTCCTGGAAAATATAAAATATATTTCAACAAGCATCAACATGCTTTTTTTTTTTCCACCAGCAGAGTTGTGTAAAGTGAGCATGTGTAGTTGAGGGCTTTGCCTTTTATTTTCAAAGAAAAGCTACACCTACACGATTCCACGTTTTTCTAAGCTTCTCTGTATGTGGTCAGTGTGACTCTAGGACAGCGCTAGAACAGAGTGGCACCAAAATATGGATGAGTTCAACGCCTATTTTTGAAACACTGTCTTAAGAGTCATTAAGGCAGTGGATATATGTTTATTTCTTCATTATCCCAGGTGCAAGGAAAACATTCCTCAGTCTCTACAGTTTGACACAGGTTATCCAGGTTTCCCACCCTGATGAATCAAAGCTTTGCTGTTCATTAGCACATGTAGCATTAGCTTTAACTGATGGGTGGCTGATGGCCATGTTCAGCCAGTTAGCTTAGTGAGTAAGAGCTGACGGCTGCTGTTGGCAGGCCTCGACGTAGAGATTAAACCAAAACCTTCAGAAAGTGCAATGCCTAGTGGAAGCAGGCAGACCAACTGCATAACTTCAAAACGTCACAATTTATAGCTGGAATGAAGACACACAAGAATAAATGTGACCCTGTACTGCTCTCACCTGGGCATCATCTTACAAATGCTAGTCTTTACACAAGTTTAATTAAAGTCAGATTTGATTATTTTTCACGTATGCTACAGAATGAGTTCTATACATGTCCCATAAGAAAGTTAACTCTAAAGTTTCTGAGTCACTGAGAATAGTCCTTTCCCCGCTTTTAAAATCAAAATTGTGCTTCCATCAGCGTCTCGTCGCACCACCCTCTTTCTCAGACTTGCTTCCTTATCTCTCAGAGGAAGTCTTTTGACAGAGCTATTCCAAAGTTAGGAGCAGCCATGAGGATAGCGATTGTGCAGATGATGTTGAAAACGCTGAATCCTACCAGGCACAGGCGGTCGATGACGGCAGCAGCGAACTGCCACTGCTCAGCTAAACTCAGCTGACGGTCCTGCTCGCGAACGCGCTCCACTAAGAACTGCACCTCCGTCAGAAGAGCCTGCAGCTGGTTGTCCACAGCAACAGATCGCATCATCCCGCTGTGGCTCTGCAGGGCGGCTGATCTCCCACCCCCAGGATCTAAGCCGCAGGGTCCAGTGGCTGCGCCTGTGTGTTCAGGGTCTGGAGATACTAGAGTTTCCAGCGGGGGGCTCACAAACTTTGAAGACTGGAGGTGCTGATGTATTGGTATATCTCCAATCGTTCCCACCGCACCTCCTCCTCCTCCTCCTCCTGCTGCTGCTGCCCCTTCGTCTCCTCCTCCTCCACCAGACCCTCTGTTGGCCCGCCCATGGCTGGTAGTCCGGCACCTCTGAACAGGTTCTAGTTCAGCGGTGGTCTGGAAGGTCTGAAAGCCCATGTAAGGCAGATGACCATTGGGCTGAGGTGGTGGATTGGAGCTAGGGTTAGGCTGGATATTAACCTGGGGGCGTTGAGGAAGTTGGTGGGACAGAGGGTGGCTGAGCTGCGCCAAGCTCACCTGCAGGGCACTGAGACTTTGTGGCAGGATGGAAGGAGCTGGGATGGGGATGGGGATCGTGGTGGTGGTGGTGGTGGTCGTCGGAGAGGACAGAGTCTTGCTGTGAGAGTCTGCCTGGCTGCTGGAGAGAGTGGGTTCTGCTCCCTCTCCTGGTCGCTTCATGCGCAGAAACCAAGGAACCCACTGCAGCAGAACCAAGTGCACCTGAAGGTCAACGACACCAGAACACAATCAGAAGACATTTGTGATTGACAAGTAGAAGAACTCAAACACTCAGCATGTACTTAAAGCCGTAGCAACTGCAATTGGCTTAAATTTGCATGATCTTTAGTTCCTGCATAAATGAGACACCCCTTTTGCTGCCCCAAAACTAATTAAGATGCAAAAATTGGATGAGGGGAAAATTATAGTACAGTCCTGCAAAAAGCATTCACTGCAAGCAAGAGACACCTCACCAGCACATGCTATCTCCCACCATAGTGTGTTATGTGTAAAAGCAAAACAAAACTTCTTCATGGTACAACTGACAAATAAATAACATATTTCCTTTTTCTGTGCCTCTTTCTAATGTTGCCTTAGTGCGTTAGAAAGGGATTCATGTAAAAACTGCTCGTGTCTCTTGTTGAATAAGAAACATTTTTTTATTTTTGTATTTGTCCAGTGCAAATTACAAAACAGGATAGAAGCCGCGTATGTGAAGTAGACTTGTCCACTATTTCCGTCAAAGAAGGCCTCATGATTTTAAAAACCTACAAAATACAACATCAGCAGTATTTATCCGTCAGCATTTATAACTTCCTCTTAACCGTTGCCCAGGCTGGCACAGTAAAATAACATAATTGATGTCCATCATACCAGGATAATACGTGTTTTCAAGTGGCCATTTTCAAAGTTTTTAATGTAATTAAGAAATTGCGGTTAACAGGAACCGCCGAGGGCAATGAAAGAGCAAAACCCCTTTATGAGAAAACTGCTCCTATAGAATGAGGCAAATTAAACTCTGAGTTTACTGGAAATAGCCTCTTCTGATGATTTAGCAGACTTTGCAGTGGTCGTGCACTGTCTTATTTCTGCAGTAACAACTAAACAAGCAAAAATCTTGCAAAAATATTCAAACTTTTGACTTGAAATCCCCTCCATGTTACTGGAGTCATCCACCTAATGAGCTGATGTTGTGGAAAAACTCACCCAGCGTGGCATTTGTCCACTGTTCAGACTGTGGTGATGAAACTGGAGGACAATCACCGTGGCTACCACCGACATACCAACAATCACCATGGTGCTGGCAAAGTACTGACCTGAAACACGCATGTCAGTAACCACAAAAGACAACAACATCCAGATACGATGCACCGGTTTGCATAAAAAAAAAAAAAAAAAAAAAAAAAAAAAAAAAAAAAAAAACCCAACAGGGGCCGGGGGGG